AGGGAGCAGTCAGAACGAGAACCTGTAATCCACAAGGACCGAGGGGCTCTCCGCGCACCGCACTGTGCAGTACTTCTATGTAATTTGCCACACTGGGATACCTTTGGCCCCTACTACGAGCGCACATTCGTATTGTGTATCAAAACTCTTAGCTTTCGTGATAATGTAAGTGATGATAAAGATAGGAGGATATTGTTATTGGTATTCATTGTGACTTACACTATTGGAGGAATAGTAAGCGTAAGGGTAGTGATGTACGAACAATGATGAAGTACATATAGATGTTTTTTATGTCATTTCCGCATCAAGGGACTTTGTAAATACCCAATAAGTCACGCTTGGGTATTTTTGTCAACTGAGTTATGTGATGATGCAGCTGCGTGAACAAGTCCTCGCTCATCCCGGGTAATACTGTACCAGCATAGATTTTAGTTGTAAAATTATGTATTTACGGAGTCATTAATTTTTTTACTCTACGGTATTTAAATTTTCATTGTACTCATCATATGTAATTCTAATTTTATATGTTAATTTAATTTATCTCTTCCAGTTTTGGTGGGGTGAAGCGCAAGGAAAAAGCAACTGGGTAGAGTTACTGCTACATTTTGACTCCATCTTTGGGAGGCATTTTTAAAGTTAGAGGTGGTGACGTCAGCATCAGGGTAACTTGTTCAAGGCAATACAACTTTAAAGGTTTAGTGTAGCGGCTGAATGGTGCCAAAATATTGTATCATGTCAACTGTGAACGTCTAAGGTGTACTGTAAATAATATATACGTATACAGTAAATCTAAAGAGGGTTGAGGAGGTCATGAGTGGTGTGGTGACCCGACATTGACAACCTTAATATAATGTACTAACAAACATCTCCCCAACCCACCTGCGTATTTGTACACTGTTTATGGCTCACCTTAAACGTTCACAATTAATTTAACATGACACAGTGATTTCTGGTCCAACAGACAACAAAAACAGTCACGGTTATGGGATTGATGTAATTGCTTCTGTAAAAGTCACTGACGTTTTTTATCGTATGTAAGTAGGAGAGAAACTTTGTGTCAACAGTAGCTCAGATGTTGACCGTCGAGGCACAGTAAGTGGTCATGAATTCAAAGTCAACATTAACACTTTTATTTAGAATGGTTAAGGTGTACTTTGGAAACTTAATACAAATTAAAAGTTTACATAAAATGTCATAATCAAACGTTGGTAACAATCCTGCGATAAAAGTGATGAGAAAAATTAAATTGAGAAAGTTACAAAGTGATATTAAAACGCACGCCTGAAAACAAACGGGGGTGGGCGGGCGAGCACTTACCGGTATTAAACTCTAGGGTGGAGGAGCATCGTGTTTCGTATGTCAGCGTGGATGTTAATATTCGTAAATACATCTGATATGCTTGTTTACATTGAGCCATGTGTTTAACTTCTCCACGGTCTCTCTGTCTACTCCTGTGTGGATACGTCTGCCCAAAGAATACATGATAGACAATATTAGATCTCATCGTTGCCTGTTGGGACCTAAGGAACGATAGATACAGTAAAAAATAAAGAAGAGGAAGGCGTGCAATGCCATCTTCTTTGTATACAATTAGCGAATGTGGAAAGATTGGTGCGCTAGTTCTATATACATGTATGACAGAGAGCGCTCAGAATATTGAATTTTTTAGAAAAACTTATGCAATAAAATAACGGAAAAAGTACTAGTGTGACGCCACCTTAATGTTGATCCTCATTGTAGTCTTAAGTCAGCTTCTGATCAATCTTCTAGAGTGAAACCTTCCCATATGCCTGCGCGTAAAACAAATTTGACATAGAAAAACGTAACGAATGCGATTTTAATTTAATTATGTATTATTAATGCAAGAATTTTTTTCTTACTGTATGCATGGCTGTTAATTTCATGACTTTTCTTACCTATATCTGTAAAAAAAAATACTCATTAGATGTGAATTTTTTTAATGCATGTGAAACTATTTGACATGTTGAGTATTGTATGTATCGTTTACAAGTAACCAACTATTATTGTTTTTTAAGAGTATATAATTATTGTAAATGTTTTATTGACTATACTACATAATATGATCTTTGAGGAGGGGAAAGTTTTGCACTGATCACAATCGTACATGTTAGTTTACTTAGTCACATATTCATATTACGCTCAATAGTTCATAAAATATGTAGCTAGCATAATGTGTTTCTTGATGTTCTTGATGTTCCCCTAGGGGCCCTGCTACCTTTTGGGAGGGCCACTGGGGGCCCTGCCCATGCCTCCCCACCCCTACCCCCATCTGGGATGGACTCTGACTATCATGGGAGGACCCTTAGGGACCTTCCGCCCCTGGAAAGGCCTCTGGAGTCCCTGCCGCCCTTTTGGAGGGCTCCTGGGGTTCCTGCTGCCCCATGGGATGGCCTCTGAGGGCCCTGCCGCCCCCCGGAAGAGCCACTAAGGGCCCTGCCGCCTTCTGATAGAACCCCTGGGTGCCCTGACACACCCTAAGAGGGCCCATGGGATCCCTTACTTAACTGTGATTGGTGAACTAAAATGTAAATCCACCAAATTACAGCCAATAAGATAACAGAGCGGTCAGTCAGCACAACACGCAAACTTAAGTTTTCCTGTTAGATATTTATTCTCCTTTACATTGTTCATGATGTGATGATACTGGAAATGAAATGGGCGGTGTATTTTTTTAACGTCATATCTCCCATTGTATCTCCCATTGTTTTAAATAGTACAAAATCAACTGCCCCCAGCAGCCCTACAGGGGCAGCGCTCCCTGGGGCTCTCCCATTTGCCCTACCAGGTACGGCGTCCCCAGAGGCCCTCCCAGTGGCTTCCGCGACCACAGGGGTCTCTTACGGGAGTCGGTGAACCCAGGGGCCCTCCAAGGGGTGTCAGCGACTGCAAGGACCATACTAGAGGCGGTGGCGACACTAGGGGCCCTCCCAGTGTCGTCGGCGAACCCAGGGGCCTTCCCAAGAGCATCGGCGACCCCAGGGGCCCTGCCAGAGGCGTCGGAGACCCCAGAGACCCTCCTAGGGACGTCGGAGACCCCAGAGACCCTCCTAGGGACGTCGGAGACCCCAGAAGCCTTCCCAGTGGTAAGGCCAAACCCAAAGGCCCTAGCAGGGGTCCTCCCAGGGGTGGCGGCACACCAAACGGACTTCCCAGTGGCAGCGGCGGACCAGGGGGCCATCCCAGAGGCAGCGGAGCACTTAGGGACACCTGCCAGGGACGTCGGAAACCCCAGGGGACCTACCAGGGGCGTCGGAGACCCCAAGGGCACTCCCAAGGTCGTTGGAGACCCCAGGGGCCTTCCCAGTGGCAGAATAGACTCAAATGACCCTCTCAGGGTAGGTGGCTCTCCCAGGGGCCCTCCCATATTAACGGTGATCCCAAATGGGAGGCAGTGACCCTAGGGGCTCACCAAGGAGTGGTGGCACCCCAAGATGTCTTCTAGGGAGCGGCGGTGCCTCCAGGCGCCTTCCCAGGAGGGGCGGCAGCGCCCCATGGGCCCTTCTCAGGGGCCCTCCCAAGGGACTGCCCAGCAGCGACGGCGCCCCTATGGGCCCTCCCAGAGGCAGTAGTGCCTCCAGGTGCCTTGTCACGGGCGTCAGCGACCCCAGGGACCCTCCCAGAGGCAGCAGTGAACCCTGGGGCCCTCCCAGAGGCTGGAGTGACTCCCAGGGGCCCTCCTAGGGGTGTCGACGACCCCAGGGGCTCTCCCAGAGGCGGTGGCGAATCCAGCGGTCATCCCAGTAGCTGGAGGCGCCCCTAGAGGCCCTGCCAGGGGCGTCGGAAACTCCAGAGGCCGCCTCAGGGGCGTTGGAGACCCAAGGAGTTTACCAATGGCAGCGGCACCCCTAAGGGTCTTCTCAGGGGCGGCAGACTCCCATGGGGCCCTCTCAGGGGCATCGGCTAACCCAGGGGCCCTCTAAGAGGCGACAGTCACCCCAGGGGCTCTCCCAGAGCAGTGGTGCCCCAGGTGCCCTACTAGGGGCGCTCCCTCCTAGAAGCCCTATAGCTTGCTTGGTCGTGCTGTTGTACATATTACGTACGTCCAACAATCCCTTACTTAACTGTGATTGGTGGACTAAAATGTAAATCCACCAAATTACAGCCAATAGGAGAACAGGGCAGTCAGTCAGCACAACACCCAACTTATGTTTTCCTGTTGTATATTTATTCTCCTTTACACTGTTCATGGTGCAATTATACTGGAAATGCGATGAGCGGTGTATTTATTTAACGTGATATCTCTCATTGTTCTAAATACTGCAAAAACAACTGCCCCCAGCAGCCCTACAGGGGCAGCGCTCCCTGGGGCCCTCCAATTTGCTCCATTAGGTAAGATGTCCCCAGAGGCTCTCACAGGGTTTTCGGCGACACCAGGGGCCTCCCAGGGGTGTCGCTGGGAGGTGATATTGGTTCACACTCAGGATGGGATGGAGAAAGGAAACTCACATATGCTCTCTGTATACATGTTGTATTGGATGTGCACTGCAGCTTGGTGCTGGGAAGGCAGCATGGTTACAAGCGTTGAGTAGAGAGAGCTGGTTGGTGAGGGTGCTCAGAGGAGGACCAGTTTGTGGGTCGCCATGGTCGCCGGCGAGAGCGAGGACCGCCAGGCAGGAGGAGGAGGTGTTGCTTGCTGGTGGCTGTGGGTAGTAAGAGTGGTCACCCCGAGGTGTGGGTCGCCGGCGGGAGCGGTGATGTATTTCCAGTATCATCACATCATGAACAATGTAAAGGAAAATAAATATCCAACAGGTAAACATAAGTTGGGGTGTTGTGCTGACTAGCTGCTCTGTTTTCCTATTGGCTGTTAATTGGTGGATTTATATTTTAATCCTCCAATCACAGTTAAGTCAGGGATTGCTGGACGTATGCAATATGTACGACACCATGACCAAGCAAGCTATAGGACTACTGGGAGCGGATGCCTCTGGTATGTCCCCGGGGGCGCTGCCGCCTCTGGGGGGGGGGGGTGTTCCTGGGGTCACCGCCTTCACTGGAAGGGCCCCTAGAGGCACGACCGCCTCTTTCTGGGCCCCTGTAGTCACCACCATACCTGCGAGGGCCCCTGGAGGCGTCACCTCTCCTGGGATGGCCCCTGGTGAATCTGCCGTCTCCAGGAGAAAGCCTGGGCGACTCCGGAAGCCCTGCCAGGGCGACTAAACCCCCAGGGACCACTTCGAATTTTGTTTCTTCCCTCTAGCTTTCGATCTTTCCCTTGTGTTTTGATGAGAGGAAGAAGAAGAATAAGAAGAATAAGGATTAGTGTTTTGATGAGAGGAAGAAGAAGAAGGTTTAAGGGGAAAAATTTTGGCAAATTTTTGGAAATTTTCTGAAAATTTTTGGAAAATTTTGGAAAATTTTCGGAAAATTAGCGAAAATTTTTGGAAAATTG